ACATCATATGACCCGGAAGCTTGGCGATCTTTAAGTTCAGCCAGTTTGTTAAAAAGTCCTTGAGCATTTGTGTACAAGAAGGCTAATTTCTCGGTCTCTAGATACCCACAAAGGGCTAAATGAGTCAAGTGTTGGGAGAATGTCGACCGATGGAGTTTGGCAGTTACTCGTTTTCTGATGGGATAATGATACCTCGTTTGCAACTTGATTCGGCCAAGGTGCGGCCTATTCTTCGTTTAGACCTATGTCAGAGTCGAGTAAAGCAGCAGTAAAGTTAAACTCCTGTATCTTCGTCGATCCGTTTGCTGCTTCAGGTGCTTTGATATTTGAACTTTGCAAAGCCTCTGCGACCTTTAACCGAAGTTCAGAAGGAATACTTTTCCGATTTCTCCGCATCGATCCAAAATATCCGTTACTTTTTGTTCTGAGTGCACTACAAGTTTTAGGATGCTGGGGCAGCATCCTTTATAATTTGGTGAGTAGAGTATCATGGTGAGCGATAGCGCCACCATATTATCCTAAGAACGTGTTTCACGAATGAACCGCCGCTGTTCTAAATCGTGCTTTCCGGTCTTTTGAACCTCATTAGAAAGATGTTCTGGCACTCCATGTATGACGATTGTGTTGAGGCGGTTTAGCTTACTGTGTCCCTCTTTAGTGTTTCTTTTTGAGTGTCGCGCGCTCCAAGGGACATCAGGATAAATGCGCATCCTACAATATCCGTGTTTTAGCGCGGTTGCGGCATGATGAGGCGATGTCGATCTCTTTTTCACTTCGGCTTATCAACTCTCATCAGTGCGCGGAGTTGCAGTGGATCCAGATGAGTTGACATACGTCGCCATAGTAATGAAGACAATGGTACCTCTTTATGAGTAAGGATTTTTGGGTGTAAGTCGTCAGACAAAATAACCAAGAGTCCGATGTGGGGAAATGATTGTCATTCAGTGCGTTTTTTCATGTTCGTTTGCTATGCCACTGACTAGCAACGTGTGGGTCTCATCAAAGCGGAGGCAGTATCAGCAAACGCTGCATGTAGTGGCAGCCGCATGGCAAACATGCAGAGCACATCCCTGAGCCAAGAGGTCGATGGAAGAACAATAGTCACTCTAATTGTGCATCAGAGGACCTGTTGTTGCGAACCAGATGATGTAATTAGCTGTTATTATTTCTTACTCCTATCTGAATTTCGCAGCTTACGGTGGTAAATCCTAGTCGCCTTCCCATCTCATCTGCTCGAAGGGGGCCCTAGCATTGTAGACCCGTTCCTTAATCAGTCTGATCACATTCCGACATCTCCACAAACGTTTTGAAAAGTCTTACGAATCTTAAAACTGCCTGCAGTAAGCTAGTCGATTTTATGACCGCCAGCGAGTGATAACTTCGAACAACATCGGCATAGGTTTTTAATTTCGGAATAGTGTTCAATCACAACCGATCTGAAGGTGTCCAATTCACGTGTAATGAAGTCGGTCAGACCAACACAAATCAATAAGCGCCGTGGCGGTTGAACTGTTCGCTGAGCTTGGCAATTTTGTTGCAAACGTTTCGTCACCAATCGAGGTGACATCATCAGTGCGTAGTTGAATGGCGTGAAGTAGCCTAGAGGAGCCTCGGTGTGAGTGCGCTGAGCGTGGTGTGCGTGCGTTTTTATACCGCCATGGTTATCCGTGGGGATAAGCAATCTTATTGGTTGGGACTTCGATCTGCGTTCAACTTCGTTGATGGGCAGATGACCTCTGACCTTGACCGCTTGTGTTTCGTGGCCTTTGTCTGCTTGCTCTTTTGAGCGAGTCTGTCGTCAGTTCTGGTTGTCTAGTCATACGTTCCGCCGGATTCAATTGATCGAGTTAGCCGTCCTTCGCCAGTAGTGTTGCGTATACTGCGTCCAATTCGATGTGTCGATTGATTGAATTCGTTGTAGAGTACCAGGCCTCCAAAAACTCTCTCGTGTTTTGTACTTCCATGTGCTAGGATCTTTACATTCTCCTGATCGAAATGGTGGTCTTCTTAATCTTCATGCGCACAAACCAATGAGTACGGATCATGCCTTCTGACGGCCGTCTTGTGTTCGGTGATTCGTGTACAAAGCTTTATTTCACTTTGTCCGACATCGTTTTTTATCGCAGTCGTTGCATTTTGTCCGGTAGATGACATTGCATTGGTCGGTTTGATTGCTTTTTTCTTTGGGTCTTGAGATCAATTTCCTTATGGTGGCACCTGGCTTTTTAGCCACAGGGATTCCATGTGACTGCAGCAAACTTCTTGTTAGTTCTTAGACGTTCTTGATGTAGGGGAGCACTATCCGTTTGTTTGCTTGTTCAGGTGACTACTGCTGCTGTTTCTGAGACATTCGTTTCTTTAAGTTTCTCTTCTCTTTGTGGAGAAGGTTGAAACATTTGATTGCTGGATCCGAACATAGCATCAACAATGCTGAACAATTCCTCAACATACTGCGGAGTGTCACGCATTCGAATAGTAGAGAACTCGATATCGCTTAGCACTGAAATTTGTCAGGTGTTCTTGAGCTGTTGCCTCCGGAAAAGAAATGGTTAACATTACTGGGCAAATCTGAAGAAGCAAGTCGTAAAATAAACGTTACGCATTGCTCAGTTTAAGTAGGGGGTTACGCAGATAATTCATGTCATCGTACCGATAGCTTATTGTTCTCGATCTTAGCTCAGGATACACTTAGTACGAGGTGAATTTAAATAAAATATTTGTGTACAAGAATAGATTTTACAAGTGATTGGAACGGTACAACATACAAAATTCACATTGCGCTCTTTCACCTTTTGCAGCGCCTGTGTACTCAATATTCCCTGGTACCAATTATGATCAAGTCCTTCCTCAAACGTTTTTACTAAATTTAAATATTTGTACTATTTTTGACCCTCTCATTTGACAAATTAACCCTAATCACTTTTTTGAACATGTACAAATATTCTGTACACCTAGTTTCATTAGGCAACTTTTGCCATATATTGCTGTAACTGGGGAAGCAAATTTTTTTTTAAACCTCAGATTAGTCCCGAATCTGGGCAATGGGTTTGCGCAGTTGGTGGTAGGGCAGGTCCGATGCCATTTACCTTCACTTCTCAAAAGCGTTTGATCACTTAGACCACCGAAGTATCCTCTATAAACTTTAGAACTGTTTTACCATTCTTCGCTGGTTAGCAATCGGGGAACCGGACGACAACAAAGAACTCCAGCGCGACCTTAACACGATTTCGCGCTGGTCGGTCTAGAATACCTTGCCATTCAAAATGGGAAAATGTCGCGTTGTTCAACTGCTCAATAGGCATGACTACAAGAATTGGCTTGGGTAACACATATTGCGAATACGTCCCCGCAACGCGACCTTGGTATGCTCATACAAATTGACTTCAACTGTAGAAAACAGGCTAAAGTAGCTGCGAAAAGAGACGATCAGGACGTAGGTTTTTTGTGCAGGGCATTAACAATGACGTACAATTCTTACGTGCGCCATCACATTGAATACGCTATCCAAACTTGGCAATTTTCGTTGAAGTGTGTCCTAGAGGTGATAGAAACACCACAACGTGGGTCAACACAGGACGTCAATTATCCGCGCAAACTATCTTAGCAGCACTGCCTGAAGTTACTGGGAGTTTTCAACGGACGCTATCGAAGGCTATGCAGTGATCTCCTATTATTGTACCAAGTATTTAATGACCATAATCAAGTATGCCGTTACTTGCTGAGACTCAGCCGCAGCACAAACCTCAGAGGTAGCTGCTTGAAATGGAGTGAACATAACAACCGTCTAGAATGCCGACGGAATTATTTTCCTCTTTGAGTTTGTCTTCTCCCTTACCTTAAATTTTTTTTGTAAAACAACTATAACTTACCATTGGCTTCCAATACTCCGTTACCTAAATTGTACTAATTTGGAATATATTAATCATACCCCCATACCGAATTTGTGTCACATGGATCTAAGGAACCGGTGCATGCGTGGATGTACTTGTTTTTATGTTTTGCACGGAATACCTCAGCCATAGCTGCCCACCATGTTGCTTTGTATGCTTGCATTCACTTCTCATTCTGTACGACCGTTATTGTGCAACGCATTTACTCGATAAACGCCTAAACAGACGACTAACATATTTTTTGATATTGTACTTTCACCGCAACCATCCTACGGGACATGTCAAGCGCCCACTTTTTAGCTCCTAATAAATCTGTTCATTGTTCACTGTTTCGTGTATCATATTTTGTTACTATTCTAGGTTTTAATATATATTTTTCACTGTCATCTTTTCGTCACACGAGCTTATGGACAAAACAAAAATTTAGGCGCAGCTTCTTCCACCATAAAGATTCGAGGTACAGCTCGGTGCATCTCTGTTTATAGGAGAGTACAGTTGATGAACCGAAGATACACTTTGTGATGGAGTGCTGGACGTTTTCTAAGACATTTATGCAGATTACTGAATGTTAGCAATACCTAATGATTCGTCTCTTACGCATTTTGAAGACAATTCATCTGACTTCTTTCAGTGTTAACAGTTAATATATAAACACAACCGATTTCTTATCCTTTGTTACAGTTGATTTGTACATTCGCTTAAGTTAAGCGAATCAAAATGTCTTAAGCCTAAATCACGGATAAAGGGGCTAATGGGAATAGTTTTTTTTCTGAAATCTGCTGTATAGCTACATCGCAGTTAGAAACTGACCATGACGGTCCGCAGCCGTCACCCATGCCTCAGTGGCATGAGTTGCTGACTCGTAAAAGTCAGGCCAAATGTTTGGAGTTCATAAATGCGCTACTTACGAAATGGTCGTCTAGCGCTTTCCTGTATATTTGATGTCTGTCTGCCTAGGTCTAGCCGCGACGAATCTCCTCATAGACACTATTATTCCACATATTACTCTAAACCAACAATGAATGCTTTCTTCTGTGCTAAATTCTTTCAGAATTCCCTCTATGCATTCTTTTTTCCATTTTACTATATTCGGTGCTCCGCTTGTTTCAGTGCCGAATATTACCGGAATCAATCGGCGCGCTGGAGCGGAACTAGAGAACTTTAAACGTGCTTGTCATCTAGAGGATGCGAGTTTCGTCAAGGTCGGTTTTTAAACATGTGATATACACTGCGCATTTCCACAGTGCTTGGAAAACTTGAGTGTCTAGTCAAGCTGATCATTATTAGGCTGTCTATATATTGAATGATCGATCGATACTTTGCATATCATTATTTCCTATTCATTTCCGTCCTCATACTTCGATCTTTTCGTGGGGCATTGGCATCCACTGGAAAAGTGGAAGATGATGGATAGTTTATTCCGTATTTTTATCACGCTCCAATCCGCTGAGGTAGTGCCGTCACTCGTTCCGTTGGCAGTAACCTGTTGGTGTCCAGTTGATCACATATTCTCGTTGCATCGCGCAATCATTAATGATTTGGGAGGCTTGTCGCCATATTTCGGCACCATTCATTCATCGCCCATTACTGACATCACTAGGTGCGCGTGGTAGGTATTCTTTTAAACTTCTTTCAGTGCACCCTAGAACATTTTTAATTTTGATACTTAACACCTAACCCCTAAAAACGCCCTCTGGCGCCACCAATTTTACGTGTCGTCTTTCTATTTCAAAGATTCTTCAGATTAAGTTGTTCACTGGTTCAACAGCTTTTGGCAGCTGGCACACAAGAGTAAGTATATAAAAAGTCGGACGTTTAATCTTACAGCCAGTTTGGCACGAGTCGTTGTGGATCTCTTCCCCGTATGTGGGAAAAAGTAGGATAATTCATCGTGGGAATAGCTGTCCATTTTTCCAATCTTGGCACACCGGTTTTCCGATCGAACGAAGCATATTCATCATGAACAACCTCCTCGTGGTGCCAGCTGGGTGGTTCGGGATTTCCCCGTTCCAGCGAATGGTTCGGCGGCAGTGTTCCAGGACGTGGTGGGTTTTCGCCTGGCAATCGTTATCGCTATACCAAGCCACATATGTCCGTTTAACAACACTGTGACCTAGCGGACGTGACTCGCCACTAAATAAAGTCACTGCCCCTTGCTTCATCCTGGCGAAGCTTTGTATTCCAGCAAGTTTATGCTGCAATTTTGGGGAGCATTGGGCCCCTTTTTGACAAAGGAACAAATGAAAGGCGTATGAACTGCGCAATCAGTCACCGGCTCCCAATAGGTGCGATTCCCTGAATTCGCTCCGCTGTCTTGCGGGCAGGCTATTCAGCCAAAGGCTCGGGGTGGTGTCCCCTAAGTCAACACCCTACTTCGGCTTGGGCAACCGGGTAGTATCTCGCCCTCTGACAAACCATGGACTTTAATGTGTTGTGTTTTCTTTTACTATTTCTGTACTTTTCCATGGTTTCTGCTGGCTCTATGTCTATTCATACACTGTTGCAAATGTATATAAGAGTACGAATAAAAACGGATTGCGGTTTTACCCCCAGCTAACGTTCACCCATCAGACCTCATGCTAGGTGTCGACAGACTGAGTTCCTCATCGACAGTCTCCAACAATATGTATCCAGGGTTCCTACAAAAGGATGCTTTTTCCGCTTCCAAGTCAGTGTTTACCGCCATTCTCAGTGCATACACTTACTCACTTCATCGTGTTCACACATGAAACACAGTTGATCGGTCTGTCTACGCGTAAGACTCCTTCGCGCGCCCTAATGCAGTGTTTTCCAGTTCCGAGTCATCTATGGTGTCCCTTGCCCGGAGTTAGCCTCTACAGGTCTATTCCACTAGTTTGGGTGTTCTGGCCACCGGGTCGGAGCTTCCTGAGTAAAACGCTTTTATTGTCCAACATTGTTTCAGACGCAGACGATATTATCTCGCCAATTTGCTGCTTACTCGGCGGCTGATGAATCAGTCCCCATAGACGTGATTTAATTGGATTTTTCTAAAACATTCCACAGTTCCCATCACTACTTTCTCCTCCAAAAGCTTGTTTCCTACGGTATCAACGGTTCCCTTCTCACCCGGTTGGAATACTACTTACACGACAGAGCAATCAAGATAAGAGTAGCGGATACTCACTCTGAAAGCCTGTGCGTCTCCAGTGATGTACCGTAAGGATCCGTCCTTGATCCGCTACTGTTTTTAGTCTACATTATTGACCTTCCAGCTGACATTCTATCCCCGATGCAAATATTTGCTGATAATGCTACAATATGGAGAGCGATTCGCTCCGTATCCGACTGTGTCTGTCTTCAGGAGGATCTGGCTTGAATTAACGAATGGGCAGAAGCGAACCAACTCCCTCTGAACCCTGCATTGTGTCACCTTCTGACGGTACGCAGCAGCTTCATCAACACATATTTTTGGGGAAACACGTCCTGTAACACGTGACTAGTGAACGGGACTTAGGTGTAATCGTGCAAGTGACTCTTGGCAGTTCGCTCCAGTGTTCGAAAGCAGCCAGTGTGGCGAACTTGAACTTGATACTTTTGAGGTGAGCTCTCGGCACCTTTGATCGGCGGCTAGTACCAATGTGGTTTAACTCTTATATTCGTTCTCACGTTGGCTATGCAATTCAGGCCTAGTGTCCATAATTAAAACGAGACATTCGCCCTTTGGAATAATCCCAAAGAAGAGCCACAAAGGCAACGTGTGGACTATCCGGTCTATGTTACTAACTGCATCCTCGTGTACTCGGTGTGTTCTCCTCAGAATACCGACGGCTTCGCGGAGATCTTATTCTCACATGCCGGATACTAACTGAAAGCGAACGTTCATGTACATCCCTGTTGACCCTAGCCCAAACAAAGCCGAGGCAACCACCTGAAACTAATGACGCGACACCGACGTCTGAATTGCAGAAAGTACTTTTGCTCAGGATCTGTTCTCATTGGAATGCATTACCAAGATATGTGGTGAACGCACCAGACATGACGACATTCGAAAGAGTTAGACTTTCCGCTTAGTGATAAACGCTACACAACAGTTTGGTAAACTGCAATGTTTCAACCACTGATACTTCACGTTCCACTTTGGAACATTTTTGATTTTCGTTTTCATATCCATCCTGTGGGTCTTGTAACCTTTTGCTTTTTATCCTTTCATACACTATTGAACTGTTGGGCTCTATTTTAGGGTACCTATGAAATCGATCTAGATCTCTCGATGGTTTTCCTTTTCTGCCCTTCTGCGCTCCGAGACCATGGGCTACGAAATTTGGTAGATTCAACTTGGTTTTTTCTGTAATTACCCATCATTATCATCATTATACACGTCAGCTAAAAGTGGGAAACACCTCAGCTACTGTGCCGCGATAAATAAATGAAAAAGGAAAATAAATACAAAAGTTGCATGCCAGCTGAGCTACCAGCAACGGATAGGCATCGTTCCGGTAAGCTATCAGCCGGCTACTAGGCAAAAGAAAAATCATTATGTTTTACGCTAAGAAATGAGATCATAGGTGGAGGGGGAGGCTAAAAGGGATGGGGAGGGACAAAGAAACTCACAGCAGGAACGCCACTGAGGTCGGCTCCTTGCCATGTCAGCAAGTGTATCCAGCCAAACGTGTTCACCGTCTTTTTGGACCCCAACCAGGGAGCCGTGACGCCCTAACCGAGGCCAGCTCCGAAGTGAGGGCCTTCATTCCTCTGGACCAAGTCATCGCTTGGCCACCCCTCTCCTTCCATCCACATCCCCGGTGAGCAAACAACGCACGTCTTGGAAGTCGATGGGCTGGCATGCGCAACACGTGGCCCAGCCGTCGGAGCCTGGTGCGTGAGATGACGGTGCTGAGCGGTTCAGTTCCTTTTCCTGTGCCATAAACAAGGCGTCGAACACGCTCGTTACTCACCCGGTGTTCCCACCAGATGTGAGTCAAACTGCGAAGGCACCAATGCTCGAAGGTAACTAGCCTTTTCATGTCCGTCGATTTTAGGGGCCGTCTGTAGTTACCCACTCTGTAACTTAGTCGATTCTATGGCCTTGTTGTCTTGTGTGCGGTACGGATGGAGGCCAGGAACGTCGTCCGTAGTTCATCCAATGTTTTTTGCACTGGCTCTACGGTCTACGACGGGTGAATGAAAACGTTTGAGACTCAACAAATGAAACGAGATACAGTGGTTTTTATGCTTTTATTTTTCAACCTAATCACCCTCTAGCGCAACACACTGGCTCCAGCGGAACTGAGCTGTCTTTATCGCAGTGAGCAGTAAACTCTTCATAATGCAACCCTCAAAACTCCTCTACGGTTTCAACGACGTCACTGTCTTTAGTACAGTGTTGGCCATCTAATTTTTTTCAATCTTCGAAATTGGTGGAAGTCAGATGGGGCGAGGCCTGGTGAATATGGTGGTTGAGGAAGTAGCTGGAATCCGAAATCATGGCCTGTTTTCTGATCAGTCGAAGATCGCTGGGCCCGAGCATCGCCATTGTGAAAAATGGCTCCTCTTGTCATCATTTCTGGCCTCTTTTCTGGAATTTTTTCCTGTGACGTTTCAGTGGATCCCAGTCATACTTTCCAGAGATGGTATGACCTCTTTCAGGGAACTCATTCATCATATCTCAGGAATCCCAAGAAATAGGTGCCACCACCTTGCCAGCCAACGGCGTAACCTTGGCCTTCTTTGGCGTAGAAGATGACGCACGCTTCCATTGCTTTGATTGTTCTTTTCTTTCTGCTTGAAAGTGATGAACCCAGCACTCATCCATAGTGAAGAGTCTTGCAAGAAAATTGTCGGCATCTGCTCAAACAGTTCCAGATTGTCCTTGGACATCACTTGCCGAATGCACTTCTGCTCAGGAATCAGAGGACATGGTACCCATCGAGTGGAAAACTTTGAGTAGCTCATCTGCTACTGGGAAATGCCTAATCTCTCTGCTATCTGACTAGTTGGTAATCGGCGATCTTGCATGATAACATTCACCGCATGGTCAAAATCTCCTTTGGAGATAGTGGTTACTTGTTGCACTGACCTGGACTTATCTTCAATAATCTCCTTACTGCGATTGAGTTGTTGTACCCAACGCTTAACTGTGACATGCGAAGGGGCATAGTCATGCAAAGTATTGGGCGTATGGTAAATAATTCCTGTCTCATTCTTGATATGATGGCCTAGTAAACAGGATCGTTCTCCGTGA